TTGAGTTGGAGTCTCACTCTGTTGCCCAGACTGGACTGCGTGGCATGCTCCCAGACACTGCAGCCTCAACCTGCTGGGCTCTGGTGATCCTTCCGCCTCAGCCTTCCAAGTAGCTGGAACTATAGGTGTGCGCTACCATGCTCAGCTAATTTTTGATTTATTGTAGAAACGAGGTCTTGCCAAGTTGCCCAGGCTGGTCTCGAACCCCCAGGCTCAGGTAATCCACTGACCTCGGCCTCCCAAAGTGCTGGGATTATAGGCTGAGCCACTAGCCCGGCCAAATAGTAATTTTATTTTATTTATTTATTTTTTTTGAGTTGGAGTCTCACTCTGTCGCCCAGACTGGAGTGCAGTGGCCACTCCCGGCCACCACAGCCTCGACCTGCCGGGCTCTGGCGATCCTTCCGCCTCAGCCTTCCGGGTAGCTGGAACTGACAGGCGCGTGCTACCACGCCCGGCTAATTTTTTTGATTTATTGTAGAGATGAGGTCTCGCCTGCCCAGGTGGGTCTCAAACCCGTGGGCTCAGGCAGTCCACTCACCTCAGCCTCCCAAAGGCGCAGGATTACAGGCTGAGCTACCGAGCCCAGCCAAATAGTAATTTTAATAGCCCTCATGGTTCTTGGGGTGTTGGATTTTGCTTACAGTCTCTTGTGTTTTGCAGACCAATGGTGGTTGAAATTGAGATTATCAGAAGGGTTCTTTACTCATACATTGAGTTCCTGGGATGCTGAAACAGTTGTGGGCTAGTCTGACTGATATCTCTTTCTTCACATGGTTTCTTCACATGACTAGCCTGAGATTTCTCATAGCATGACAGTCTCATGTAGATGAAAATTTTTCCCCATGACTAACTTTCCTTAGAGTAGACTTTATTTCTTTATGTTAATTATGCAATTTACACATAGCTACATTCTCATTGTAAATTTTCTAATACCACGAAATGTCATTTACCAATTCTAGACGCTTCCCTAGAGATAACTGCCAAAATCAGTTTGGTGTCTACTCTCTCAGAATTTTTTTTTTTTTTGAGTAGGAGTCTCGCTCTGTCGCCCAGACTGAAGTGCAGTGGCCGCTCCCGGCCACCGCAGCCTCGACCTGCTGGGCTCCGGCGATCCTTCCGCCTTAGCCTTCCGAGTAGCTGGAATTACAGGCGTGTGCTACTAAGCCTGGCTAATTTTCTATTTATTGCAGAGATGAGGTCTCACCAAGTTGCCCAGGCGGGTCTCGAACCCGTGGGCTCAGCTCTCTGAATATTTAGTGTGTCCTGTACTTTGCTTTTTTTTTTTCATTTTACAGTGTCTTAGAGGTCTTCCTGGAAGGATACATCGCTCTCTACCTTCCCTCCCCCTTTTATTATTTTTTTTGAGTCAGTCAGGGTCTCACTCTGTTGCGCAGGCTGGAGTGCAGGGGCACATTCACGGACTGCAGCCTTGACCTGCTGGGCTCAGGCGATCCTTCTGTCTCAGCTTTCCAAGTAGCTGGAACCACAGGTGCATACCACCACGCCCAGCGAATTTTTCGATGTTTATTGTAGAGACAAAGTCTTGCCAAGTTGCCCAGGCGGGTCTCCAACCCCTAGGCTCAAGCAATCCTCTCACCTCTGCTTCCCAAAGTGCTGGGATTACAGGCATGAGCCACCGCGCCCAGCCTTCTACCTTCCTCCTGAGTCCTTGCAAAGTACTCCCCAGCATGAACGAACTCTAGGTTATTCAGTTATTGCCCTCGCGATGAACACTGGCTTCCAGTTTTCCTGCCCTGCAAACGGTACCCTATGCAAACATCCTTTTACCTCTCTGCCTTTGTCCAGACCTTTGTCTAGGTAGATACCAAAAAGCAGGGTGGCTAGGTCACAAAGTCATATGCTAACCCCCCCGGGGCTTGGCACACCCTGATGCTCCTGCCTAGAATGTTCTCCACATGACTAATTCCTACTCATCAAGACCCATAAGCGTCATGTCCTATGAAAGGTGGTCCCTCCTGCCTCTGTTCTCCCACAGGGCTTCCTGCCCATATCGCATGGTTATTGTACACTCAGGACTCTGCCTTGATTACCTTTATATTCCCAATATCTAGCATATGGTCTAGCACAGAGTATACTTGCAAAGGTTTTCTGGGTTGAATGGATGAATGCATAAATAAATAAACATGCAAGCACATTCCAGAAACTCAAGGTGAGTCTGTGAGTGGCGTGGTATTTGGCTGAGGACCGGTGTGCTTCCTGGTGCCCTGACCAAGCTGCCTCCAGCGATTTGTCTTCATCCAGCCGTCTGTCCCTCACCTTGAGCTCTGTTCACGATGGAGCAGGGTGAATGTTAGGGGCTCGGGCCATGGAACCTCGAATCCGAGCCTTGGGGCAGCACTCCCTGGGTGCTGGCTTTCCAAGGGCCTGTCTCCTTTTACCTTTGAAGCAACCCCATATGCTCTGGGCTTTGGGTTATTGTTTTTCTCCTATGGTACCTTAGGGACAATTAAGATCAGTGGCCATGTTTCTGCTTTCTGCTTCCAGATTTGAGCCCCAGGGAAGCCAGATGCTTTCCACTCCGCATTCCCTTTTCCTTGTGGTCTGATGAACTACCCTGGTTTCTGAGTCTCCCCATGGCCTGGCTTTCCCAGATCCCAGAGACTGGTTGCCAGCTTTATTTTTAACGAGATTTTAATAGGCGGTTGCTGTAATTAATTTCATCCTTGTGTTTTCACACTTTGCTCTAGGTGTCTAAAGGCCCTCAGGTACTAGGTGGGATGTTAACTGATGTTAAATAATACAAAACCCTGTGGCTGTCATTAGATATTTCACGGGCTCCTCTCACTGGTTGTTTTACAATCATTAATTAGCTGAGGTTCACGGCTCTGTGAGAGGTCAACCAGGGCACCTATCATGTTTTATAGAGGAAGAAACAGAGATAAGGACGGACAGAACTGGTCCAAGTCCTGAGAGTATAGGTGTGGAAACTGGTTTCAGAAGCCACATCCTAGGTTTCAGATCCAGGGATGCTTTGCCAAGCGCGGCCAGAGCCCTCGGGCCAAAGGTGGCATGCCTCGGGTGACCCCCAGGCATCTTGGGGAGGCAGTTTCGCCCTCCCACTAGGACTACCCAGCAAGTGAGCCCTCAGCAGCTAATATCACCTCCTGAAGTCGCCGCCATTCCTTTTCAAAGGCCCCTTTTCCATTTTGTGAGCGGATTTATCTGCGTAAAGGACGCGCCAGTGATTCCTCCCAGATTTAGAAACCACGTATTTTTGCTATTTTTAAAGCTGCCGTTTAAAAATCCGCGCGCACGTAGTCACACTCCTCTGGGAGCGGGGGGTGGGAGAAAGAGAACGTGCCAGAGAGAACAGCGAGGCCCCCTGGCTTCCCAGGGCGCGGCCCTGCCCCGGGGGGCGCACTCCTCCGCGCGCCAGGGCTCTCCAACCCGGAGCCGATCTGCGCCGCTGGGACCCTTGGAGTGCCGGGGGCGTCCGGCCCGGAGGGGCTGCGCCCCCCCTCGTCTCCCGGCCGCGGGGCACCGCCGCCGGGTCACCGGGCCCAGGAGGGAGCGAGAGCGGAGGGGAGGCCGAGCAGGTGGCGATTAGGTCAGCCTCGGAACATTCTTGGACCGCTCCAGGGGATATAAATAACAGACTGGCCCACTCCGACGCCCCCCCCCCACCGGGGA